GAACCTTGTAGGCTTTTGAACGCCGGACAATGCAGCGGGCCTCATTCTGGTCCTCGGGAAGCTCTTTCCTGTTGAGGTAGGCCAGGAAGGGTTTGGTCCATGGGGCAATGACTGCCATGATGAGATGCGCCGATGGTGTTATTTCGATGGCTGAGCCCCCGACGACGTCGGTGTTTCTGGGATCTTGGATTATGTTTGATTCCGGAGTTGTATTGCCGTTTTTCCCCTGCCACACCACGGATGGCTTAAAGAGCCTTTCCATGAAAATGTTAGGTGGGACGGGTTCACGCTTAGCACCGATACGAGAAAGAACGTCCGCCGCTTGGTTACTTTCTCAGGCCACATGATGGAACTGGAGTCCTTCGAACCGGTTCGACATTTTGATGACTGCGCTACGATACGCTGCCATCTTTGGATCTTTAGCGTCGAAATCTCCGTTTATTTGAGATATTGCGAGGTTCGAGTCCCCGCGTACCTCTAGGTGTTGTATGCCCATGGAGACAGCCATCCAGAGACCATGTAATAAGGCCTCATATTCGGATGTGTTATTGGAGTCTATGTATAGTATTTGGAGAATGTACTGGACGATGTCTCCCATAGGGGATGTTAAGACGACCCCCGCTCCTAATCCTGCTAGCATTTTGGAGCCGTCAAAGTACATGAGCCAATTGGAGTATGTGTCATACTCTTTAGGGAGTTCGACCTCTGTCCATTCGGCGACGAAGTCGGCCAGTACTTGGGACTTGATTGCTCGACGTGGTTTATATGTAATATCGAATGGGAGGAGCTCGATGGCCCATTTGGCAATCCGGCCTGTAGCATCGCGGTTGTTTATGATGTCATTGAGGGGTACTTCGGAGGCCACCATGATCGAACACTCCTGAAAGTAGTGACGGAGCTTTCGGGATGCCATTAAGACCGCATATGCTATTTTTTGATAATGAGGGTACCAGGATTTGCATGGTGTAAGGACAGTGGATACGTAGTATACTGGCTTCTGTAGGGGGAATTTATGTCCGTCCTGTTCTCGTTCGATGACGAGTACGGCGCTCACTACCTGGTGTGTTGCTGATATGTATAATAACATCGGTTCGTCGGCGTTTGGTGCGGCCAGTATTGGATTGCTCGCAAGAAGGGTTTTTATTTCCTCCAATCCGGCTGTTGCCGCATCCGTCCACTCGAAGTGGTCGGTTCGCCATAGAAGGCGATAGATTGGCAGTGCCTTTTCTCCCAATCTAGAGATAAAGCGGCTTAGAGCTGCTACGCAGCCCGCAAGCTTTTGAACTTGCTTAAGATCTGTTGGCCTAGCCAGTTGTGACAGAGCTCGGATTTTGGCTGGGTTTGCTTCGATTCCTCTATTGGAGACGATGAAGCCCAGTAGTTTTCCAGCGGGGACGTCGAAGACACACTTTTCCGGGTTGAGTTTAATGTCATATGCCCGAAGGTTGTCGAATGTAAGACGTAAGTCGTCTATTAGTGTTTCGACGTGCCTGGTTTTGACGACGACGTCTACTGTTTTGTCGATCTGTTTCTCCAGGCAAGTTTGAATCATGCGTTGGTACGTGGCACCTGCGTTCTTGAGCCCAAAGGGCATGGTGTTGAAGCAGAATGGCCCGTATGGGGTGATAAATGATGTTGCGGCTTGATCAGACTCCTTCATTTTGATTTGATGGTATCCGGAATATGCATCGAGGAAACACAATGAGTCGTATCCTACAGTGGCGTCGATGATTTGATCAATGCGGGGGAGTGAGAAGGGATCCTTAGGACAAGCCTTATTGAGGTCTTTGAAATCGACGCATAGGCGCCAGGATTTGTCCTTCTTTGGTACCATCACCAGGTTTGCCAGCCAGTCTAGGTGTTTGATTTCTCTAATGAATCCGGCCTCGATGAGTTTGGCCAGCTCTTCCCCCATTGCTTGTCGCTTGGGTTCGAAAAAGCGCCGCGGTGATTGCTTGACCGGTTTGAACGCCTTTAATATATTGAGGCTATGTTCGGCCAGCTCGCGTGGGATCCCTGGCATATCTGAAGGGTGCCAGGCGAATATGTCCCAGTTTTCGCGCAGGAATTCTCGTAGTGCGGTGTCAACTGTTAGGTTCAGTTGAGCTCCGATAGATGCTCTCTTCTTAGGGTCTGTTGGATGGACCTGGAATTTGACTATTTCCTCTGTTGGTTTAAATGATGTGGATTTAGGGCGTTTGTCGAGGATTAAGTCGTCCCTGTCCACCGTGGAGCATAGTGCAGTTAATTCATCGGCTGCGAGGGCTTCGGATAGCTCCTCCAGGGCCAGGGATGCGGTTTTATTTTCGGCACGGAGTGCTATGTCCGGATCACTGACGAGAGTGATTATACCGTTTGGTCCGGGCATCTTGAGCTTCATATACCCGTAATGGGGTATGGCCTGAAAGTGTGTAAAAGCATCCCGCCCCAACAGGGCGTGATACCGCTCCTAAAAGGGGCCACTTGGAAAGTTATTTCTTTGGACCGGTAGTTCTCTGGCGTGCCGAATACTACGTCAAGTGCGATTTTGCCCAAGCACCACGCCTTCCGACTAGGAATAATTCCTCGGAAAGTTGTGTTGCTTTGCATGATGTGGCTCCTGTCTAGTTCCATTTTATGGAGTGTGTCCTCATAAATGAGGTTTAGTCCGCTGCCGCCGTCCATGACGACCTTGGTAAGTCGAAACCCGTCCACGATGGGACTGGGGACTAACGCAGCTGGTGCTCGCACTATTCTGTACTTTGGTTTGTCGCCGGCATTGAATGTTATAGCTGTGTCGCTCCAGGGGTTTATCGTAGCAATTTGGCAGACTTTGGCGAGCTCGCGGAGCGCCCTTTTGCGCTTGTTATTTGAAGCGAATGTCTCAAAGACCGTCAATACTCTTGAGTTATCGTCCACTGGGGGTGCCGTTCTGAGTCGTCCATTATAAAGATATCCTCACCGCTTTTGGCTACCTGCCGTAGTATCCAACATGCTCTAAGGCTGTGGGTTGCCACGGTATCCGGTGTTGTATGTATTTTGCATGGGCCATCGAGCCACCTGGTCAGAACGATGCCGTGCCGCATAGCGGTTTTGTGTTTCTTGACTGTTGGAATGGGCGTAGCGCGAGGGTGCGCCATTTTCTCCTATAGGGGGAGTTGAGTTGGGACTGGCAGTTCCCAGCGAGCTGCCTGAGTTTTCTAGGTGCTCTCCATCGCTCTGTATTTTTGTACGATTGTTGCTAAGTCAGCGAATTTCAGTATGCGGCGGCGATTGATGGTGTTGAGGATTCCTTCGTCCGCGCAATTGTTGCAGAACGCTGATATTGCGTCCTCGTCACGGCAATCTTTTACCTTGTCTTTGACAAGGAGGAATCTGGCCCATAAGTGATGGACTGTTTCCTGAGACTGCTGTTTTATGCTCACGAGAGTGTCTAAATCCGGGTGGGTGGGTGGAATTAAATCCGAACCCTGACCCGACCGATTATCCGGAGTCTGATGATCTTCCGGGCTTAACAGTCCGGGTTCCGGAATACCTTTTGATTGTTTAGGACCGTCGTCCGATGTTATGTTCGGAAGGTTGGTCGCATCCTTTCGCGGGTGGGTATCCGGCTTTTCCTGGTCGGCGATCTGGACATAGTCTGTCTTTAGTATAGAAGAAAACTCGTCGTCCTGCTCCACGACTACCGGAATCTGGTGGGTGACCGGTAGGGTCTTGACTTCTCCTTGATCGGTTTTAAGCCTGATCCGGTCGTAGTTTGTGGCTATTCCCAAAGCGGCGATGCGATCTAGGAGTTCGCCGGATCCATCCGCTTGGAGTGCTCGGAGTTGATGCGAAGAGGGTTTTCGATGGCCCGAGAGGTCATCGTCGGCTCAACGGCCGAACAGGCGATCATAGTAAAGCCGCCCAACCGGAGGGTTTGGCCCGGGGCCAGAGCTCCTCCAGGGGTGATGTTGTCTTTAAGGACAAGGCGAGCCATCGAGCCTTTTGTCGACGGCACAGTGGAACTCTCAATGAAAGCAGCAATGTCGGTGCCAAAACCGGCGGATCTCAGGTAGGGTGTCCCGAACTGTGCATCTAGGATCGATGGTAACAGGAGACAAGGGACACAATGTTTACCCAGGTCCGGGCCCTCTCTATGGAGGTAATACCCTACATCCTGCATGATTGATATTGATGAATATGGGTGTTACAAAAGTTGATCTACCACGAGATCGTGATGGCTAAACCCTAAAAGCCTAGCATATATGACTATGGTAATGAATGTGTCCTTTTCAGACTATCCCCTCCGGTTTATATAGACAACGAGGGGATGTAGGGTTTACATAGAGTCGGTTATATAAAAAGGAATCTTCATAGTCGGTCGCCAAGCTTGCCTTCCACGCCAAGAAGAGTCCAATCCGGACTCAGGTATAATCTCCGGCTTTCATGTCTTCACAGCCCATCAGTCCGAGCCACCAGATAACAGGTCGGACGCCCGAGGACCCCTTAGTCCAGGACTCCCTCAGCGGGCTCGAGGGACGGAGCGGAGAGCACGGAGCTACAGAGAGCCTCCTATGGCCTTGGAAGGCAGTGCTCTGTGTTCGTCACTCTCGCTTATGTCAACATCTAAGCATGACACATTACCATACAATTATGAATGAGATAAGGTCCACCTCAACTTGCAATCATACATGAAAAAAGATCCACCATCACATGCAACCATGCATGCTTGGGAAAATATTTTACATTCTATTATTCTACTTACATTCAATAAATATTTTACAACTATATACATAATAAAATACAACACTCTTAATTTTGATTCACGCGATATTAATCTATATATTTATATTTCACACTTAAATATCATTGAAACATATTGTAACCGATTCTCAATCAACACGACTGGTATCATTTAGTTTAATGCAAGACGATGCAGACGAGCCGAACGTTGACGTACTTTCTGGTCGTGTCGCCTCAACTGTCGACTGTCTTGTACACCAAAACAGGCACCTCTGCACATGTATGTACGTACCGAATCAAGCCGTCTTTGGCGCCGCGACGGCGACGCAGCTGTCGACAACGAACACGCTGACGAGCCGGATCAGCTCGCCGGTGGTCTCGGACCACGGGTCCTGCGTGAAGAACCCGTGTGGGTCGTTGGGGAAATCCACGACCTTCACCGGCTTCCCCATCCCGGCCAGCCGCTCCGCGTAGTCAACGGTGCGGTCGTGCAGCAAGTCGGTGCCGCTGGAAACGACGAGGACCGGCGGGAACTTCACCGAGCCCAGCCCAGGGCTGTCCGCCCCGAACGGGTTGGCGATCGGGTGGTCCCTGCTGGCGCCCTCCGGCAGCGAGAGCCGCCAGAATCGGTCCAGCACGGCCAGGTTGAGGAACGGCTCTTCCGCCAACGGGAACTCCACCGCCTCCGACCGCGTCCGGTCCACACCGCCGAAGAACGGCATGAGCAGGATGTAGCCTTTGATCGTGATCGAGTCGACGTCATCGCCGTGTTTGGGCGTGGCCGACCCGGCGCTAACGGCGAGGTGGTGCGCTAAGGTCCCGCCCGCCGAGTCGCCGGTGACGAACACGCGGCCAAAGTCGGCCGCCTCCGTGAGCCACCCGTCCTCGGCCTCGGTGCTCACGGATTGCTCGCAGAGCCATTCTAAGAAGCCTGCCGCATCGTCGAGGGCCGCGGGGAGGCGGTGCTCCGGAGCGAGGCGGTACCCGGCGGAGAGCACGACGGCGCCGGCCTCCGCGGCGAGGCGGAGGCAGAAGCTGTGGAAGTTTCCCCACGTGCACGAGCCGAGACAGAAGCCCCCGCCATGGAAGTGGACGAGCACCGGCAGCTTCCGGCCGGCCTGCTCACCGCCGCCCGACGGCTTGTACATGCGGACGCGGAGGTTCTTGCCCTTATCGTAGACGGCCTCCTTCCACTGCACGGAAGGGTGGTCGCAGGGGAAGGTGACGGGGCAAAACTCCGGCGGGTCCGGTGACCGGACAACGGTGCCGTCGCTGAGTACACGGAGGATGCCGTAGAGGTCCTCCACGACGTTTGTGTCGCCGGAGGCAGCCACGGCGACCGGCATGGTTGGCGTGTCAATGATGTCCGAGGCTCCGTGCACACTTGCGCGTTGTGCAAAATATTTACAATTAGAAATGACAGCAAATGCAGATAGCTATGTAGTCAAACGAGTTAGTAAAGGAAGGCTTATCATGTTGATGAGATTAGCAACCTTAAGCCCTCTTATATAGCCATGTCATCTCGACCTCGACCAGTAATTACTCCATGTTTTAAGCTCTCCAAGGGCTAATATATTCGTACCTCAAAGAAAACGTTACTTACTTTACCACTTAAAATTAATAATAAGAAGAAGAAAGAAGGAAAAATATCGGATTTGCTAATCTAACTCCCACACAAAGAAAAGAGAATTAACAAAGTCGCATCTAACTCCCGCACTAATTGATTTTACGCAGAGTATCTTTTTATTTGATTAATTTACGGTTAATTTTCAGTTTTGACTTTTCATGCCGCCACGCATGACTACACTTAAGATTCACCCATTCCTGCACAAGTGCAGTTGCACATCCGTCGGCTTTTGCATTTTCTATTTTACTTTTGTCTTTTTGCATGCACTCTCAACTGGGCTTACGCACGCCCACTTGACATCTTGCAAACTTTTTTTTGCAAATACGTAAAGCTTGTGTGGCATTTTATTGATAGAAGAAAGCAGAATGAGTATAGAAAAAATACGACACATGACACATACACAAAGGCATGAACATGACACCATGAGCAGAGAGACAGGGGATGCTCGGCCCGAATAAAGAAAGAAAAACACTGCTAAACCCATGAAGCTTAGAACTAGGGACGAAAGTCGGACCAACGGGACATCCAACATCTCAAAAACTAAACATCGGATACACCTCAAGCAAACAAGATAGCGCCTCCAAGAAGGAAAACGACCTCGTGATGCCGGCGGCTTCCAATCCGAAGAACCAGACCTGGGGTTTCCCCCGGTGCTCGAAAAAGGGCACGGATAAAGGCCATGGCAATGCCTCCAAGAAGGGAAACAATACCTGTGGGTGTCGCCGCTGCCAACATCGGTAAGCCGAGCAGGGATCCATGGCCTAAGTCCGAGCAGTCCCAATGTCGCCGAAGCATGATTCCGAAGATGATGAAGTCAGGCCACTCGTCAAGACCACTAACTCAGGAGGGGTGGGGCTGAATCTGCCGTCGGGGGTGGCACTTGGCGCCACCGAAAAGACGTGAGCTTTGGATTTGCCCGAAGGACGAGGCGGCAAGGTGGACGGGGGCGGAGTGATGGAGCAGAGAGCCGACGTGAGGGAAGTGGTGACTACCGGCAACGCCGGCAAGCAACTACAGAAGGAGCACAAATCCGAGCTGCCGACGACAAAGCCACCGAACCACCGACGGCTAAAGGAGCTGGAAGGACGCAGCACCAGCAACACCGGAGCCGGAACTACATCGGTAGAGGACGCCAGCGAACCGTGGACGCTGGAAGACGTAGGTCCAGAGCCACCGGGACCGGGGCAGCGCCGACAAGGAATCCACGACGAAGAGCCAAGCGCCGGCAAGGACATCTTGCAAAATTGCGGTGGCACATCCAAGTATTGACGCGCAACTTAGTTGCACGCCTACTAATTATGCACAACTGCATGTCCATCAAACGCGCTTGCTGGCTTGATGGTTGTGCGCAACTGCATGTCCACTAGTGGCGAAATTGCACCCCCGTGCGTAGCTACATTTATTATTCTAAGTCATATCAGAATTTAGCTTCGTTGGAGCTCCATTGTTGGTGTTTATTTGAGAGGAGGAAAAAGCAACATCCTGGAATTGAAACGCGCAGCGTTTATCTACATTTTGTAATACAACTTATGTACAAAGGTTGGAGAAGAAAATGCCTGGAAGGAAGGATCCGTGATCACGAGCAAAATATTATCAGCAAAAAGTTGTGGCGGATGGTAAAACAAACTAGGTAAGGGGAAATACACTTGGTTTCTGGTTGTACATACACCCTATATGAGGGATGATAATAATTATAAAAAAAGGTTAAAATAGTTCAGAAGTTTTTTTGAATAAGCTTAACTTTCATTTGCACTAGTATAATAAATTTTCACGAAATAAACAACATTGACTTCAGGGATTATTTGATATTATAGGTCACTATTCACACTATTTTGGCCAAAATATTATTTTTTAAAGATGTCAAAGGGGCTTTTTTGTGGAATTTTTTTTCACAAGTACAATGAAGAGTCAAGTTTATTGCAAAAATATTTTCAGATTTTTAAATTTTTATTTAATTACTAATATCTTTTTCATATAGGATGTAATACACTCAGGAACCAAGAGTCCACGTCCGCTAAGTGAGTATAATCTTTACACAAGACAACGCAGCCCATTTTGAAATGTTCGTGGCTCTATCTGAATGATGTAGGCATGCATAGCAGCCAGGCTAGAACCTAGCAATACTCACGTAAGAAAAGCATGTGCTTAGTACCGATTGCTACACGGTTAATTTATAATCCTGCATGATATAAGCGTGTCTAGGGCAGCTGCGTAGGATGAAAATCCGTCCAAAGTCAAAAGCATAAAACCCACACTTTGTCTCTGGGCAAAAACTCAAAATAGGCTCTCGTCCTGTTTTAAATCAAGCCACAAGCAAAAAAAAAAACCAATTCAGCTCTTGACAACATATGCTCCTGCCCACCAAAAATATTTTTTGCAAATGTGAAAAAGTTGAAAAACATAGGTGTGTTCACTATCACACTAAAATGCTACGTGCAAATTTTTAGGAGAAAACCTTAAGAATTTTGTTGTGCAAAAAAAAGTCAAACGATAAATGTTACCTTCAAATGTTACACTTATTTTATTTATTTTTTACCGACGAAACACTGTCATCCTATTTCATATGAAGATTATCAAGCATACTTGTTACACTAACATGAACATCTGAAAAACAGAATTTTTAAATTTTATTTATTACTTATTTTGAATTTACTGTTCATTAGGAAGCATATGCACCCTAGAACCAAAACAACCCTCCCACAAGGCCAAACATACAAGGTGTTGAAAAGATCCACATACAAAAGAAGAAAAGATACGACAAAGAAAAAAAAGCCAAAAAACACTAGCAGTACATTGTTGGATGTCGGCAGCGGCACCAACCAGAAGCACTACAACTTTAACGAACCTAAGAACCAAAGACCGACGAAATCACATCTTCTTGATGAAACTGTTGGAAATATGAGCAAATTACTACAAGATTTAATCCGAATAAACAGAAGATAAATCATGACTACAGCATCAAAGATTAAACTAATCATGCGAACTAGCATAACAGATGAACATATCACATCTAGGGCACATACTAGAAGCATGAATTCTACCACGATCTCGAACAGGAAGGATAGAATCACATACGGTGCAGCGGGTGCAGGACCGCCGGCGTTGACATTGTCGCCCATGTCGTCGAGGACGAGGTTGCCGAGGTCGGGAAAAAAGTCGTCGTTCGCGAAGTCGTCGCTGCCAGCAGTCGCGCGAGTGCGCTCCCCAAAAACCTGATCGCCCCTCTCCCGTACAGGATCACGAGAGGCGGGCTTCCGAAGGCCTGCTGTCCCTTCTCGCGGTGCACGCCGGAAGGAGGGATGGAGAAAACTTGCTTGGCGACGCAATGATCTGGAACGGTGGTGAGAAACCATACGAAGCGGCGGCGGCTAGGGTAGACATATGCCTGACTATATAGTGCGTGCCGGGTAGGTCGTGGGAGTAAACCCCACGTCCGAGTCGTCACGATCCAAAAGAATCGGAAACGGTTCAGTAATTAACGCATCCGTTAATTATTAATTAATGACTCATTAATTTTCTCATGCAGCAAAAATATAAACAACGTGCATAGCTCTATCCTCGGCTCGGCTCAATCTCGCAACCCGCAGCGCGTCGTGACGAGGCGTGGCGTGGCGAGGCGAGCGAGGAAGAGGAGCGCGCATGTAGGTCTCCTCTTCTCATGCTCATACAAGTGGTAGAAGAGCTCACCTTATAAAGAGGTGTAACTCTCTCTCAACTTCCGGGGTGGGACTAAACTTTACCCTCACTCACTCCACTCACATGTGTGCATGAATGGGCCAAGAGAATTTCAGAATTTTAGTTGGGCTTTGGGCCAAAGGCCTACTAGCAAAATTCCAACAATCCCCCACAAAGTCTCATTGGCACATCTCATCATTTAGTTCCAAAACATTGTTTTATATATCAGTGCTTAGTGGAGACTGTGAAGTTGAACTTCCACTTAGAAATTTATGCTACACTAGATCACAACTTGAATAGTGGGCTATGCCTTGAACTACAAGTTTTCTGTGAAACTAGTTTCACACAAATTCTTGACCGATACTGGGCTGCCGTAAGGCTTCCCCGCGGGTGGAGCGTATACGTCATACTCCAGGGCTTTTCATGAATTTATTAGAGAACACCCAATTCTCACAGACTGCGATGTTAACAGTCAAATTCATATAGGTGTGTTCCCCAAAAGATGTTCTGCAGGACAACATCTCTGCTTACCCGAATAAGCCACTTGGAACACATTAAGATAAGTATCAACCGCCATGCAGATCAGGAGAGTATTGCATCTTCACGGAGTAGGAAAATTAATATAGGGATACTCTCCTCCCAGCTGACCAACAGCTTGTCTCTCACTTCTACTTCACGGGATCTCCGATCACATAGAGTGGGTTACCACTATGGACAACTCATGCGGTGGGTCTCAAACCCATCTCCATCGATGCATTATCTATCACATTACGTGATAGACCCTTTGTGAAGGGATCTGCCAAGTTTTTCGACGTTTGGATATAATCCAACGTAATAACTCCGGAGTTCCTCAATTTTCTGACAGATTTTAGTCTCCTCTTCACATGCCTTGAGGACTTCATATTGTCCTTAGAACTGTTTATCTTGACGATCACAGTTTGATTATCACAGTTCATCAGGATAGGAGGTATTGGTTTTTCAACCATAGGTAAGTCCATCAAAAGTTCATGAAGCCACTCTGCTTCAGCAGTGGCAGTGTCTAAT